AACTGAGAAGGCTGATCAATCACCAAAGAAAATGTTGATTGTTAAGTTTTGTATAGTTGTTGTCTTCTAAGGCCAGAACTGCTACCCCGATCAGGACATTTTTTAAAGAGTTATGGATAGCTGTGTTAAATTTTTAGTTACTCGTTGCGTTGGCAATTGCCATGGTTAACCGAACAGTTTAACATGGTCTGTGTGTAAAGAATGGACAACGCAGTGGCATTGTTTTTACCCCTGCCTTAGATTTACTTTAGCTAAGCTCAAAGATTTGAGTGTTACATGGAACAACTACATGAGCTTAGGAGTTTCATTCATGCACTTTATTTGCCAATCGAGGACGGTTTTCTTTAAAATTTTCTCAAAAAAATCGGTTCGTTAAAAATTATTGGTAATTAATATAAATTTAATTTTTAGATATGCGAATTTATTGATTATTTATTTCACCTCGTTTTTAAAATCTAGAAGATTTTTTATATTATAAATTAAACAGTGTTACTGACAAGCTAACTATTTTTTGTTTGATTTATAGAAATCAGTTTTAATTTGTTTTATTGGTTTATCTGAATTGATTAATGCTGATTTGCTATTTCATTTAATTCCGCAAGTCTGCATGTTTCGTAAATAAGGGTGACATGTTTCCAGGGGTTTCAAGTATATGCTAATAGAAACAAGGGCGTTTCCTCAACCAGTCTGCACGAGGGGTCCTTCCGCAGAAGGGCCTTGGAGTCCTTCTTCCGCTCTTAATTAACCGGCAGAATAAATTGAGAAATTAATCGGAAAATTTAATCCAGGGCTTTACGAAGAATGAAATGTCGAATTTAAACAGCGCTGGTGCGTTGAAAACAGTCGAATCGTTAAGAAAATTTAGTGGAGTCGTATTTTGAATTATCGGTTTGAATAATTAATAATATTGTATTAATGTTCACATGAAACAAAAACTAAAAGAAATATATGCATTTGTATTCCGAACGATAACAAAAGATAAGTCCGCAGTATGACTTTTATCGTCCGGCGGAAGCACGAAATTTCCATTTCGCATTGTTTAACGTATAAGTACTATTCACTGAATTAGAGGCTATATTAAAAGAATGTTTAATTAAACAGTCCAAGCAATTGTAATTTTATTAAATTTGTGTGTGTACGCAGCCAGAGGTTAAAAATAATTTATTGAAGCGTATTGATTGGCAGCAATGGAAATCAACCTTCACAATGTAAACGTTATAAATTTTACTCGCGAATAATCTGGATCACGGTATGGTCTTGATGAAAAAGAAAATTCAATTGTTACTGGCAACCTTTCGACATATTTTGAAGAACGTCTGACAAGAGGTTGGACCAAACTTTTGTTGGTGATTCTACACTCCAAAATATCGTTTTTTAAAAAGATGGTTCCTACACACATCTTAATGTGAGTAAAACCCATCTTTTTTTAAAAGGATTGAACTCCACACTCACCCCATCATTTATAATTTCTCCAAAATATCAGTCACGTAAAATGAAATTTAATTTTAGCATCTCTAGAGACCCGTAAATATAAATTATTTATTAATTTTTTGACCATGAAATTTTTCCGATTTTTGGGAAGTCGTTATCGGAATATCTTATTAAAACGGCAGTAATGAAAAAACGGCTGAAAGGACCGTGAAAAAAGAGGAAAATATCTTTGTAAGGAAAATAGGACCATTATTATTAATGAATTCCTTATATTTAGTGGTCTATTGACCAAATTACTTCTTTCAATTAATTAATCTTGTTATGTAAGGTTTTGGTTGAAATGAAAAAGTTAATGTTACGAGCGGGATTCGAACCTACAACGTTCGGCTCAATACGCCGCTGCTCTAATCACTTGATCTAACTTGACATTATTATTATTATTATTAAATGGTAAAAGTACATGTCAGAAATTAATCTTGTTTTAGAATTTATTATTGTAATTAGTGACCATTAATCGATATTTATGTAGAAATCGTGAGATGCGGTCTGGTGTGATGTAGGTTTCAGAAAAACGTTTTCTTTATCGTGCGAACGTTTCGATCTTTATTGAGATCATCTTCAGGGCTCAAAGCGTTTGTCTTCTGTGTAAATGTGTCATTTTTGCGTGTCGTGTCGAGAGTGCCCAAGAGTTAATTATGATGGTTTGAAACAAAATTCACTAAAATACCGGAAAATCATTTAGTGATGAATAAAATTTAACAAACAATTTTCTATCACTTGTAATCCACCTAAATGTTTAATCGGTATCTTGAACATAAAAAAAATTGTTCGATCTATTTTTGAAGAATCAACAGCTAGTGAACCATCACCTATCGCTCTTTACCAGTGAACACACAATATTCGGATATCACAGAAGGTAGAAATAAACCGTAAGGAGCTGCAGTGTAAGAATGTTACAAAATGTGGTGATTAGTGATCGTTAATCGATGATTATTCAGAAATCGTGAGATGCGGTGGGCACTCTCAGCACGACACGCAAGAATGTCACAATTACACAGAAGACAAACGCTTTGAGCCCTGAAGATGATCTCAATAAAGATCGAAACGTTCGCACGATAAAGAAAATGTTTTTATGAAACCTACATCACACCAGACCGCATCTCACGATTTCTAAATAAATTATTGAGATATCTTCAAAAGGTACATCAATAAATTCTAACGTGATTACTGTCAGGTCGATAAAATCTCCAACCTTTATATATATTTAAGTCAAACAGCCACTAGGGTTAAAGCTGCCTAAATTACATCCAGTCTTACGTAAAATTTCCATCAGTCTATCTGTAGTCTCTCGACAGTCACCCAGAATTTCCCTTAAGCTATCCGATAAATCATATTTGACTCGTAGAGGCGAATAATTTTTACAGAACACAAACAAATTACTTAACAATTGCTATTTCTTCGCATGTCAATCATTGAGGTGGCGGTTTCCTCGCCATCAGGTGCCCTGCAATGACCAATTCGCAACCTAGACTACTGATTGTTTGCAGATCGTGAGATGCGGTCAGGTGTGATGTATGTTTCAGAAAAACATTTTCTTTATTGTGCAACGTTGCGATCTTTATTGAGATCATCTTCAGGTCCTGGGATTTATAAACATTGTTTAAATTATTAAAACGTTGGCACGACAAAGAAAATGTTTTTCTGAAACTACGTCACACTTGACCGCATCTCACCATCTCCCAATAATCACTAATTAACGGTCACTAAAACCCCACACATTTCTAACAAGTATTGTTTTTCTTTTCTGTATTGCTGGATTGTTCTTTTCCATTGTCTACTACTAGCTTTGATTTCTCTCAATTTGTTCTCTTTTTTGTTAAACCAGATTGTTTGCCATAGTTTCTTTTAAATTATTATTAATATCATCATGGGCAACTTTTTCTATTGCAAATCATTCTTTAGCGACCATCACGATCATCTTTTTCATTTCCGAGTATGTGTCCCGGTGCCCATAAAAAGCTTACCTCCATTAGACAATTTTTTTTATAGATATTAAAATTTCTTGAATTAGTGGATTACCTGCGAAAAGGTCTCTAAGAGAAAGAAGAGCACTGAAATGGTTGTTACAACACTTTCACACAAAACCACTATGACACCACAAGAAGATACACGAATAAAGGTCGTAACATAGCAAAATGAAAAAGGCGATTTTCTAAACTACCTCATTCTTGACCTCTCCTCACCGCTTCAACAAATTACGACACAACAGCTCGCTAAGAAACACACATTTCTACCCGTGAGTTTGTAATCTTTCTTGTAATATTTCCCCCCAAAAGTAAAATAATGTGATGTATTATTAACTTTATCGTAACGTAACCCGTTGGAGGTAAGTTTCACTAGGCGGAAATTCCTATATTGTATTCAATGTATATATTTTTTAAATAAAATTTCTGTGTGAAATACACATCAAACTTATTGAAAGATAGATGCAAATCATTACTCTTTCATATCAACAAGCTTATAAATATACTCCAAGTCCATTTTCATGTCTGAAAGACACAAACCATTTACAAATATAATACAACCCTTTCCTTCATTAAGTAGTAATTGTCTGAGAACAGAAAGGACTTAAAACACCAACAGCTAAGTTTAGATTGATTTCTCACTAAAAAATATTTCTCGTATATTTACGTAAAAGTACAAAGTACATAAATTAAAAGGAAAACTGATAATCGAAAAACGGTTTTTACAACTATGAGTTTATACGAACCCCCGGGGAGCCGATGAAAAAAAAATTGTATGTCGGGTCCGAATGGAGGGCAACTGGCTCGAACCCAGAACCTTATACCTTTCATTGTTGAGCCCCATGTTAATTATTATAAACCATTTTACTTTAATGAAATAAATAATAAAGTATATAATTTTAATTCTATTATGTGTAAAAGATTTTATTTTAAGGCATAAGGCTTTTTGGATGAACGATAACAAGACAATATCGACCGAGAGTAACAAAATTCTTCTGATCCAGTCCATATTGACAAAGTTGTTATTGATAAAGGTTTATGGCCTGCTATTTCCATGGAATGGTTCTATCATTCATATTCGAGGGGCCTCGCAGAATCAAAATACCTTGTTATGTAACTATGGATACATCATTGGTTGGACAGCTTCTCGAGGGGGCTCTGACAACATGATACGTGCAGATGAGATAATTGGCATTAAAACATCAATCATTTTTTTAAATATTATTTCTAACTTAGGTTAACAAAATCTAATAACACAAGAAAAATAAGAGCTATACAGAAAGTTTAGTTCAATAATAATACTGTGTACTCTACTCTTTTTTTGTAAACACTTATCTTTCGAACCGTTCAATTCAGATTTACGACAATCAGAATTCAGACAAATTGATAAAATTCTGTGTATCGTTAGTTATTTTTATTTTTAGTCGTTTTAAATGTTGAAATAAATGACTAAGTCTTATAATTTGCAGACCTCAACATAAAATTTTTTTAGCCAATTGACAATAAGTGAAGACGATTAAAAATAGGATAACTGAAAACCCGTCGTAACAATGCGAACAAAATTTATTTAAAAAATAATTATTGTTACACAGAATCAATACCTATAGGAATATTTATTTCTCTTAAAATTTTATAATCCAATCATAAATTATTAGAGGGCTATAAAATCTTTTAAAAATATTAGGCGTAAAAACTATTATTATATTGTCATAACAAAAACGACAGCATGGCACAAATATCACTTAAAATGACCAAATCAAGCTGGAGGCCCGAATTGTATCATATATTAAAATAGGTCGTGTGGTATGGCCTGAAACATTTAAGGCAGAGAAAAGGTTGGCTCGGACAATTAGGACAAATAAAATTGATAGACTGAGTCCACCCGTTTGTATAACAGTATTTGCATTGCGCTTGCCTGTTTACTTCTACGGGGAAATGGGATTGTGTCACGATTCGGTTTCTGACGCCGGACATCCCGGGATCAAGGAGGTTTTTAATTATTTCCTCCTTGAAACGAGAAGGCTCGATCCGGTGATAATCTGAGAATTTGTTATAAAGAGAGATGGTGTTGAAAAGGAGAAGTGAGAACAGTTTCACGACCATCTTCATGTAGTAAGTCCCTTCGATGTCGTGAGCGATAAAATTCTCTAAGCGTCCGCAGGCGGCCATGGTCTCATAATAACGTACGACGGATTCCGGCTTAGGATGCGCTCTGTCTACGGAAACGGGATGACTAGTGTCCACCGTAGGTTTATGGCCGAATTCCGTGCTCAGCCAAAACTCGTCCCATTTTTCTCTTAACTTGATGCAGCTGAGCCCGCCCTCTGTGTACAGAGCCTCACAGTCCTCGTTATCCAAGCGGTTTTTTAACCATTCGGTTATATCGCTGTCCCTCTTGGGGCTCACTCTGCCAGTGTAGTTGAACTTATTGCTTGCCAAGAGTCTGGCCAAACGTACACTTCCGTACTTCTTGCACACAAACACAGAATGGCCCAAATTAAAATACGGGCGTAGAATTTTCAAAACCATCTCGTCCGAATGCTTTTCGCTTTCGCAATCCTGGCAATCGAAGCAGACGTGGACATCCAGGACGACGCCTACGGGATCGATGAGCGTACACATCCTGAGTCCCTTCTCGCTCCAAGAGCGAAAAACGCTGACGCTCCCGATGCAGAGCTCTCTTCCAGGAGAATACACTTTCGACATTTGGTAGGCTATCAGTTCAATAAAGTATCTTATTTCCTCAGTCTTGAACTGGGGACTTCTGGTGGCCTCCCTTTCGGTGAAGGACAGCGCTTTCATGATAGAAAGGAACCTATCTCTCGACATGCTCTTTGGAAATACGGGGTTCAGGAAATGTTTTGAAGGACGCCAATTTGCCTCCAGGTCCGGGCCGGAAAGGTACAGGAGGCCGAGGAACGTTTTAAATTCCGGTATTTCGAGATCGTTCCACACGAAGGTACGACCGGTGGAATGTTGGACCTCAGAAAGAATCCTGTCGGCGTTTCTGTTCGTAGCCATGATGATCGTGTTTAAAAATTCCTCGTCCGCTAGTAAATTAAAATAATCGAAAGGGGTGTCTCCGCGGGGAACGAGCTTCAGCTTTTGCCCGCCTAGGAAATGTAATCCGGGCGAGGGTGTTTTCTTCACCTGCCACGAGACGAGCAACGGCTCGGGAGCCGACCTCCTTCTCTGCGGTTCGATCTGGTGCCAAAAAAAAGCTTCGTAGTCGTCCACCTCCGACCGCAATATGTCGTTCGGTGTGTATTCGATGTCCGATCCTACGTCGCTCCATTCATTTAAGCCTGAAACAAAAATGTCAACGTAACAATTCGACAAAGAACATTTTAAGCCTACATAGGAATATCTAATCTTTAGTAACGTTGTACGAGATTACAATTGTCTAATGCCTAAAATGTATACTCATTAAATATTTTATTACAATATATATTGTAATAAAATATAACATATAATAAGGGATGTCGACTCTTTTCTACAACATTACGTTATTACTGTAAAGCACTATTACTGCTGTAATAGTATATCCATATATACATATGTGTATATAAAAAAGGGTGCCCCCAGTGTGCCGGTGTTTTTGAAAAAAGCCCATCTGTAAGTATATATATCCAATATTACTGCTATAATATTTATTATACGTATAGTAGTATTGCATATATAAGTATATAAAAAAACCGATCACCTGGATTTGGAAAAACAGATCACTCTCTCTGNGGATTTTTCCATGAGCACGTAAAAGGCCACGTTTTTTGCCGAAAAATTGCGAATGACACAAAAACGAATGAGAAATCTGGCAAAGTGGAAGGTGATCAAATTAAGCTTATCGAAATTTCTTATCGATTGCTATAGAGCGCCGCTCCCTAGACGATTTCCTGGCTCAACTGCGAAATTTGAAGTGTTCGTAAAAAGTTCAAAAATTAAAATGTTCCCGAATTTTTGAATTTACTGATGAATGGATGAAGCTAGTAAGACATTTGTAAAACCATCTTATTCAGCGTAAAAATGTCTAAAAAAATGAGATCTAGCGCAGGACCGTGACTTAAAATATTGAAAAAATATACATTTTCAAATTTGGCCATTTTGTCATGTAAAAACCAGGTGGTCGGTGTTTTTATGGGCATGTGTAGTATAGTACATGTATATAAATTCAATATATTGATGTAACGTGTAAATTGGATTTCACTGAAACAATCTCTGCGATGAATTAATGAGAAGTACTCTCAATTGAAATATTCTTTTGACTTTTGATTTATCTAACTGATTATATTGTCCGGTTTCAAAAGCCTTGAGGGTTTTTGGGATGTACATAAAGCATTAAATGTTTCTTTTTAACTTCCAGAATTGTTTTAATTGTATGTTACCATTATCTAAAAATGTTTCAGCTTTCGTTGAAGGTTAAAAGTGGATAAGGAAGTTTAAATTGGACATGGACGTTCTTTTTCGGGTTTCGTTCTTTTCCCTTTCTCGAAGTCTCGAAGCAATCCCTTGTTACACAGACTTCGTGAATAACTGTATAATCTCATAGCAATTGTTTGTTCGATTGATGACATTAATAATAGTACACAGGTGGACAAAATTAACGCAACCAAGCTTAATGTTTAATGTATTTAGGTCTATTCATAATTTGCACACAAAAAATAGGTTTGATTGTAAAAAAAAATACATTTAAAAAGAAAATGTTTATTACCGAATTCTAAAAATAAAAATAAAAATCTTTCAATGTCCAATTCACATGTTCCACGAGTCCTGTGCCGGGACCCGAGGTTATTTTCATTGATCCTTCTTCTTACAGTCCTGATGAAAATCGAAACATTTCAGAATTGTATTATCTCATTTCCCGTAATGCAGCGGTTTCATAGAGCCTGATTACGGATGAATCTATCGTCTCTCTCGTCTGTAGACCTATGTCGACCCTGTCCTGACTTTTTAGTGTGAAGCCCTATTTCTCTGAAGCGCCGAAGAACCTTATCTACTTTAGAGTGATTTACACTCAGTCTCCTGGCGATTTGGCGCTGGTTGTATCCTTCCTCTTATAATGTTATAAACCTGACACTGCCGAACTTAATCAAATCCATGACTGGAGTTATTGAAAAATGTTTAAATATAAGAATAATATCAAACGAAATCAACGAAAGAAAAAGGTTAACTGAAAGCGTTCTTTGGGCGTAGCAGATTGGAAGGGCACAATGTTACCTTTTGTGCAAATAAGATTAATCAGTACAAAACTAAATAAAAGAAGTAAACAAAGCATTATTCTTGTTTTTATTTGTTTATTTTGACTTTGAAAGCTCCTAATTACCTGAAACCAATGTGGGAAGATAATAGATTCAATAATAACCTGAATACATTGAGTGGTGCGTTAAATTTATCCATCAGCGTACATTAACGATTTAATAAACTCGATTGATGTGTATTGATATGATTAGTAACATAAAAACTCTACGAAAAAATCAAAATTAATTAGATACGATTAGGCACAACACGCTGTAACAGAGTAGTGAATACTTTATCAGGCTGATTATGAAACTTCTTGATTTGCTTACAAAATTAAAGTTAAAAAGATATATCATGCTGAATTAATTTGCGTGGTAAAAAGCAATTTTAGTTACTATAAAAATATATAAATATAATAATTACTTCTGAAATAGAAACGTGAAGTTGTATCATCGGAATCTCCTCCATTCGAGTCATTTTCGTACGAGTCAGATGATCCGCTGGAAGAAATTGAAACTAAAACAAAAATCAAAATTTTAAACTATATTTAAAAAGCTTAAATGATGCCAAAATTTACAATTAGAACTAGATTGAAGGAAGTCATCAGTTAGCGGTGAGCTGGATGAGCTCGACGAGGATGAATCGGTTGACATCTTATTCGACAGCAGCTGAAATATAAACAAAAAGTTTGGTTTTAATTGATTATATTTAATCTTATACTTTGAACATTTTCAATAATTTAAAACCAAGCCAATTATAATAATTTCGTAACAGTTATGAATTATTAAAATTCTACAAAATCGCTGTTTTAAGGGAAATAAAAAACTTTGTCAAAGCTAAACAATATACAGGGTGNTATATATATGTATATATATACAGATATAAAGATATACAGATATATATATGTATTAATTACACATACCTATTTTAATGTAAACGAAATAACAAATTCATGTTTTAAAAAAATTTATTTAATTATGATAGTTTGAAAGAAAATGCACCAAAACACCAAAAAATTAGTGATAAAATAAATTGTTAGTTAAATTTTAATCTACCACTAAATGAATTGATTGATGATGTTTTGATAAATTTTCTTTCGAACCATCATAATTATATTTTTTTTTAACTCATGATTTTAAAATACATATTACAACTTCTGATCTCGTTTAAATTATTTTTCTTAAGAAATGTATGTTATAATTAATGCAAGATAAATACACACAGTTACAAATAAACGACAATAAAATATAGAATATGATACATAAAACAAAACTAAGAAAACAAAGCGACAAATTACATGAGTATTAATTAAAATTGTATGTAAAGTTGGAGCACAAATAAAATGAGAGGTATGGATGCATACACTAAGAACAAATTTATATAAATTTCAGAACAAGTAGTTTAATCATTATAAGAATTTTTTTACCGGTTGTTTAATAATTTGTTTAATTTGTTGGATTCGCGAGGAGTGATCAAGAATGAGATAGTTTAGAAAAAACATCTTTTCCATTTTTTTGCCGCCGTATAATTTAAACAATGTTTATAAATCTTAGGCCCTGAAGATGATCTCAATAAAGATCGAAACGTTGGCAAGACAAAGAAAATGTTTTTCTAAACCTACATCACACCATCTCACTATCTTTAATAATCATGAAATAAAATGTTTTGTATAAAAGGTAACAGTTAAAAGTATTTATTATAATTCATAAATTAGATTTGAGGATTTAGCTTTGTTTACCAGACAAGCAACTGCGAAAATAAAACAAATTTTCAAAACCTGCATTAATTTTGCACCAACCCTATATGAGATATGTGTACAGAGTGAGTTTAAATATTCTCCCTGCCTAAATCCTTTCTTGGAGCGTTTTTGAAAAAATACCGAGAAACGTAAACTTTTATTTTTTGACTAGTTTCACAGGAACCAACACTTTTGATCTAACCCTTTAAAATGGTAGATACTGATATAAACTTCACTATTTCAAATAAGCAGGTAGCTAAGCTTAAATTCGCACCAGACTGAAACGCGCTTTAACGAACTATATCCATGGCATTCTGTTAATCGATATTATTTGAGGAAATTACTGCGACGTTTTTCTTGCGATACCACGAGCAAGTAATTTACTATCAATTAAAATGATAAATAAATTGCTGATTGGTTGAAGAATACTTCAATTATCCGAAAAACAGTGTGTGGAAAATGTGTTCTTGAAAATAACTCGAGAAAAATTGTTCCAAATTAAATTTAAATTGCACCGATCAATTTCTCCGTCAAAAACGTCTGTCAAAAATGGTACATGGATGAGTATCTTGCAATTTGAAATTTGCAATCATGCATTGAAAATTTGAAATAGTTCCAATCCGTATCCCGTTATCCTGGAGAGTTAGAGACGTTTTGACTTACGAAAAATTAGACAAAAAAATAAAAATTTATGTGTCTCCAGGTTTTACTCAAAAACGCCTCATTAAAAAAATATAGATTGGGAACACTTTAAACTAAACCTGTCTATAAAATCAAAAGGAATGACAAAATTATTCATTACTGGTTTGAAATAATAAATGCTAGTAGATCTAACATAAAAATATATCAATTTAATTGTTATAATAAACCACTAGGATAATTACGATATAATTAAGATTAATGAAGATATTAATTAATTTGTTTTAAATAAAGGTAATTGTATTGGATTTATTTATCCTTTTTTAACCACTCGTCTTGCTCAACCTTCCATATCGTTTAATTACCAATAAAACAGAGGTTCGCCCCGATCTCTAAACTTACCAAATCTCATCCAGCACCTTCCAATTTCCTACCTTCTATTCATATAGTTACTAATTGTTGGCAAGCAAGGTACTGGTTAAAACTTTTTTTTTTTTTGTAGGGGACCGCGCGAGTGGTTAGCATGAGAGACTCTCACGCCGCGGTGGTGGGTTCGATTCCCACCGTCGCCTCTGGCCCTTTCCCCCCCAAAAAAAAAACCTGTTCTTAAAACTAATCATATATTTATTTCAGAATTCGAACCTTTTTTTATTTTTTCAATTTTCCATTAATACATGGACACATATTGCGTCCCCTCTCCTTGGTGCCTTTCACCAAGTCGAAAATGCTTTAGGTCGAGTCTGACATCCGGGCATCCTCCAGAACCTCTAGGCCATCTTTCACACACGTTTCCTGCCGCAAATGTTTGTGCCAACCACTAATCTGGAACCCTCACGTATAACTTTGAAGGACCAAATTCAACCAACGCTGAATGACTGTCTCAATGGGTTCAAATTATACTTTGGCAATAAACAACTCATAAATACACCTTACTGAAACAACCAGAGTACACTGAAACGGCTTAAAGTACGGAGTTAACCGAAACGTCCGACCATGACAGAATCAAAATCTTAAAATCACGAATCCAAGATAACACTGTGTTATATGCCTTAAACCGGACCATTCACACCGCACACCCAACTTGTATATGTGGCTGGACCCTGTTACAAAACGTTAACTCACAGCCAAATAATTACATCCTTGAAGTTTCTTCTCCATCGTATTCTACCCATCTTTTTAGTCATCTCAAAAAGAGACGGAGAGCGAATAATATTTCATTGCGTAGAATGAGTGCTACCGTTGGACAGTTTCGTCACACTTGTTAGTCGAGTGCTTGTTTATAATATAACACAAAGATAATATACAGTTTAGTAAATATAAATAAATAAACATACAAAGACTGCCACCCATGGTGTAAAACACCATTCGGGGAGTGTGTATTTACTTTGATACAAGTTTTGCTTATTGCCATGCACAAACGATCGAGGGAAAATAGATCGATTAAAAAAATATACACATTATTTGTACATTGATCGGGCAAAAAACTGTTTTAGATGGTGGCCTCTGCAGTGTTGGGAGCTGCTACCGGTACCGGCCTAGCGTTGTTGGTAGCAATGACGCTTGTCGTCTACCGTTATTATTCATCGAGAAGGTTTGAATTTTTGAACATAGTCGAGTTTTGAATAAACATCAAATGTATCGTACAATTTCAGGTACGGAAAGGATTGGGGAGATGTGGAACGTTTCAGCGTACCTCAAGGATGGGTGATGAACAAGCGATCGGCTCCTGGATGCGGGAGCGGCAAGAAAAAATCAGCCTCACCACAAGCTAGTTACACAGTCACTCAAAAAGTAAGCTCTTTTTGTTTGTCTTTATTATTATAAGATAAAAAATACACGGTAAAAATCAAAAACTATTGTGAAATCCACTAATAATTAATACATGACATTAGGTATGGTCTTGAAGAAAAAGAAAGGCATGGTCTTTCACTCATTCGTGAGTGAAAAAGTGAACGCTCCTTCTACATTGAAAATAATTAACATCCACGTTGAATTTGATTAGATTTAATGCTCGAATAAAATATCAACGAGAAAAATTAATTCAAACGCAAATAAGACAATTTTCCAACACAAAAACAAAAAGTATACTTGTCAGAAAAAGTAATCATTCCTCATTACGACCTAAAAAATTATAAATTGAAGAGATCCTTTTGGAGAAAAAAAAACACTTTTGTCTTTAAACTTAGCACTTTTCTCAAGGGAAGGATCGCCCTCCCTTGAAAGAAGGTTTAATATTCCTCCTTGCTTCCTTCCACTCTCTGGCCCCAATTTAGATCATGATAATAAATAAAACTGTAGAACCAAGAAGGTTGCTGGTTATACTGCGACTTTAATACAGATTTACAAAAAAAAATTGTACAGATTTCATCATTTTACTAAGTATAAAATTCTGTTAATGGAGAATAAACTATAAAATTCGTACTAATCCGTTGTCCATCTCTTTTTAATCGTTATATAATAACATAATTTCTTTAATAACATTTCTTTGTAAACAGATTATAAGGAATACTGAAGACAAATTTAAGGCAAAATAAGGAAAATCATTCAAACATTAGTCTAAATTGAAGGTTAATGTACTACTAGGTTGGTTAAAGAATCATTGCGGAGTAAAATGAATTATAAAAACTTCTTAAGGATTTCCAACGCTTTTTTTTTTTTAGTACATAATATTGAGGCTCTTTCCGCCATTTTCTCAGTAATTTTTTTTTAAATTTGTATCAACAATAATAAAATAGATTTTTAATCAATGTCGTACATACTAAATCAAATCTTTCATTTTGGTAAACAAATGACTGACTTTTTGTGTCAAGGGTAGTCTATTTCTCTCACATATCTCATTCATTTATATTTATCATTATTCCAGTGTTTTTAAAATTATTGTCTCTAAATATGCTAATTAAATGCTCATACAAGTTGCATATATTTTGTTTGTCTTGTTGCATATTTGCATTGTTGTCAAATATATTAAGTATGTTGTTTCTAACCAGTTTAAGTTTTTGTTATTATTTTCTTGATCCGAAAATTTTATATTATTGAAATCCATTATATGATTTGTTGTGGTCACATCTTTTGATAGACTTGATTTTTCCAAATTATTTTACCTACATTTATATCTTGATGTTTTTCAATGCTTTTTCTTTTTTTATAATATTAATTATTTTGTCCGTTAGCCTTTCAAACATAATACCTTATACGTATTATCTAGATTATCTTTGTTTTCCCCTTTAGATATTTCACCGTTACATTTATTGTAATACGTACATTCTTTGTGAGTATTATTGTTGATTACGTTTTTAGGGTGATTGTTCTCTACTAACAATAAGTATAGAGTTTTTAAATTATATGTACGGAATGTTCTATCACTAATATTTTTTTACATATTTCTGGTTAGATTCGTTACTACAATTCACTATATTTATGTTGAAATGGGTGGGGAAGGCAAATGAAATTTTACATTCTTTTCGACCTAATTAGGTAGGATTTAATTAAGTCAAAATAGTACTGATACTGACACTGATAGAGATGGATACCTACAAGGTCGTGGGTGTTTGTGCTCCCCAGACACTGCAGCCTTCTGGCAGTTCGCTAGTTCAGTACAATCGATTCAGAAGTATTAGGTCAATGACTGTCGCTGCTGCACTCTGTAATATCTGCCTAAATATATTTGGTATTGCAGAAAATGGTATGTAAAGCCGCGTTTTCCTAGTGACGGGTTTTGTATGCCGCGGAGGACGGAATGACGAGGTGGAATGACGCTCCCTACTTAAGCAGTCAAGTCAGGGAGTCCGTCGCGGAGTTTCTTGTCTCATCTAGTCTTTTTATTACTTCATCTTTCTTTTCCCATAATAATAATGGACGAAGATCGTTTTACTGTGGCTCAGAATGAACAGTTGATGAGCTAGTGGCGAGAAGAGAAGTTTTGTGGGACTTGTCTCACAAGATTACGATTTTATTGAAGGATCTCGTATGAACAGAGATTTGGAAGACCAAGACAAGTAAGTACAACTCGATATGTTATAATAAGTATAATATATTAGCCATTATTAGCAATACAAATATATGTCAAATAAAATTTCTTATTTTAAGCTGCTATAGTAATTTAATTTTTTATTGTTGTGTTTAATTTACTATATTAATCTAATTAAAATTAATAATATAATTTAATTCCTATTTAATTCAATTGTTAATAATTTTATTATTATAATTATTTTTTCCACTTTTAGAAATTCATTGTAGACAGAGGTGGAAGAGCATCCGTGACCGCCACAAAAAGCAAAGCAAACAAGGCTCAACCGGTCGGAAGGTGGTAAAAAATAGCGTCTGCTGGATGAGGTTCAATGTTTTAAAAACAGGACGAGGGGGCGACAATTAGTAACGCTTCTGATTCATTATGCTTCTACATTCATTATGTTATTATGTAGTACATACACAACTCAATCAAGTCGTTCTAGGAAAACTTTGGGGACCGTTTTCCGCGACGTGTTATGTTCCATCGTTTATCACGACTTGGATTTCCGACCTCCGCGGCGGACAAAACTGTCGCTAGGAAAACGAGGTTTCAATTTGTATTTTTCGCAAAGTTTCGAAAGAAAGTGGAAAACCACTTGATGTACATGTTTATATACTGATTAACTATATTTATTTAAAATAAAAACTTTTACATGAATTGTATCACCAACTTATCGAAATGTCGTGAAAAAAGAATGTTACCTTATGTTTTGGCTTAATTATAAAAACCTACACTACATTGATAAAAAGAAGAAGGAAATGAAAAATTATATTTTAAAAAATAATGTCAAGGCGAAATAACATCACTATTACATAAATATTGTGATAACAAAACGTTCATCCCTAAGTTTTCTACTTTGATTTTAAGAATTGAATAAGATAAAAAAATGGTAATAACTATTTGACCCTAGTCAAATTGATGTTAGAACGGGTTGGCTTTTTATAACTAGGGGAGAGTCGTTTTCCCGAATTACCTTTCTTCGATCAATAAAGACCCGTACGGGAAGGGAGAGGTGGTCAAGGTGTAATCAAAATGTAAGGCGGGCCCTTTTTCCACAATTTTCTTTTTCTGTGTCGAATCATGAGGTTCGTATTTTTTTCATCAATTTTAAAAATTTCATCCAATATACTCCAGTTACTTTTTGAAACTATTTGAAAAAATCTGAACAAACCGGATGGTAGCAATTCAAAATTTCTGGTGTAATTTTGAATAAATTTTACTGTTGGTTATATTATTTTTTCTTTCGATAAATGTGCTATTCGTTATTATTTTCTGTGGCATTTGTTTGTTTAATTATTATTGTCTAACAAGTTTTAAATAAACGTTTCAATGGTTGTTCTTTTTCTACGCATTTTGTGTAATTAATTGGTTTTATGATAAATTGAATTAGAAAGAATTGCAGTAGAAACGATGCTATGCTTATTATCGAATGCAATTAACAGATTCTAAAAAAAATTGCGTTCTTTCATTTGTTTTTCAAACAAAAATGAGGAGGTCCGAAGCTACCTTTTGAACCACCGTTATGAGCAAATCACCAGCATAAAATTCTATGGTCTATAATCTACATTCTACATAATGAATAACTAAAAAAGCTTATGACACACAATTCAAGACTGTTTAAATTAGATTTCTATTTTTAAGCCACAAAAGTATTCGTTGTTTTATGTGAACAAAATGAATATCTATAAAAGCATAATCTATTGAAATCTTAATACATTTTTAAAAAAGAGGGGTTTTAGTCTTAAAAATATAACTTAGGCCGATCTTCTAAGAAGCAGAGATTAATTCAAAACTCTGGATTCTCAAAACAAAAATTCAATAATAATAATATTTTTTCAATTTATTTTTAGACTATACAGATTTATACATTTATACAAATGTGATCAATTTACGTTTTTCTTTTCTCACGGTCACGGCACTAACACTAATGCCAGCGATGCATCTTGATGACACATGACATGAGAAACCAGCCAAAAAATGCTGGCACCCAGGTGAGGGATTAAAGGTCATGGAAGTCCCGAGGCCATCGTTCTAAGGTGACGTAGTGGGTTCTGGGGATGGGAATGTGTAGAGAGGACTTGAACAGTAGGGTTAGGATAGATCGAGAGGTCGGTGTGAAACTTTTGGAATCTGGAACGGGTCGGTTGACAAAAGGAATCTTGAGGTCGTTGTGAATAGTGAGGTTAGTGATATAGTAAGGAGCTTTGACGATTTGTCTGAGGACTTTTGATTGGAAGGATTCGATGCACTGGATGTTGGAAGTCCTGGCAGAACCACAAAAATAAGTTATGTCCAAAGAGGTTGCTGTAAAGTCTTGTATAAAGTTAGTTGAGTCTTGACCGTCAAGACGTATTTTGGTCCTAGGAGTTGTCCAAGTCTTCTGTTAAGTTGTTGTCAGTTAAGACTTCTGTGGGGATTCTCGTCATTCTACTGTCTAGTTATAGTCCTAAGTACTTGCCTTGAATGAAGGTCGGTATCTTTTCGTGGGTTTGAGTGGCAAGACTGTTTTTTCAATGGGAACGTACACTGAGTACATTTTTCTTCAATCAGTCTTGTCCTCCACTTTTTACACCGGTCTTCGATAAGCGCAAGGGTTTCATGGATATTTGAAGAAGCGTGTATATTCCAGATAGAGGATTGAATTTCGGTATCATCCGCGTAGATTGTGAAGATGGCATTGGGGTAGGCAGGCAGGCCAGTAGTGTAGATGATATAAAGAATGGTACCAAGAATGCTCCCTTGTGGTACGCCGGGTTGTATTTATCTGATTTCCGTAAACTCG